CCCAGCCCAGCCCAGCCCCAGCCAGCCCCAGCCAGCCCAGCCCAGCCCAGCTCAGCTCAGTCCAGCCTAGCCAGCCCCACTCACCTGCCCACAACAAGGCCGATCTCAGCCAAACCTGCCACCTCGAGGTGCCAGCCCCCTACCCACCCATCTGCTGAGGCCTGGCCCCCTTCCCCCTCCCCACACTTCTGCCCCTCCCTCCTCTCCTCACCTCTGCCTCCCCCACACCACATCCTTGTCCTCTTTCCCTCCTCCCCACACCTCTGCCTGGAGCTGCAGAACACCCCAGGGGGCCCTTCCTTCCTTATCCACAGGGGCTCCTGGCCCCTGTGACCCTGACCCGCCACCCCATCCCCAGCTGCTTGCATCTGCACCCACTGCACCCACCTGCACCCAGCCACACAGCACTGCCCCTGGAGGAGCAGCAGGGAGGGGGCTCCAGGACGGGAGGCCTCTGGCATCATCCTGGCGGCATGTTGTTCCCCTCACCCTTTTGAGGAGCAGGATGGACTTGGTAACACACTTGCCCCACTACTGGCTCCGGACCCCTCCCCACAGAGCCCTAGAGGAACTCTCTCCCACCATGCTCGAACGCTCAGACGTCCTAGAGCCCAGACGCCGAAGGTCACGCCCAGAGATGAGGTGGTTGAAGCTCCGAGGCCACGTGTCATTAAACGTATTAAGTCTCCTAGCAGCCATGCTGTTGCAGCGGCGATGATTGTCGGGGCGGTGAAGACAGCAGCCAAACACGACTCTTACAGAGAAGTGGGGCCAGGAGGGTCACTCTGAGGAGTCGACCCCAGCTTCAGTCCCAGGAGTTTATTTATAGTCAATACGGCAAGCAGTGAAGCAAACAACAGAACAATGGGCTTTGGGTGAATAACAATAAGTTTCGGGCAAGGGAGAAGGAATTCAGATAAACAAGCCAATCAGACAATAGGTTTGGGAAAACAAGTCGTGCCTAATCTCCTCATCGCTGACAAGCCTCAACATGTCCTGTGCAGCATAGAGGCCTTTGAGGGGCTGAAGTTGTCATTAGTGTAGCCATGTTTCAATGGCATATATCCCCACACCATGCGTCTCTGTCCTGGGGGCTGGGGACTCACGGGGTCCTGAAGCCCGCCTAGGAGAGTGCCTTTGTAAGGGCTATGTGGCCGAGGGCAGGCCGTGGTCAGGCTGGGCTGTTCAAACTAAGGCCACTCACCCCTGACCTCAAAGGAGGGGACCCAGGAGAGCCCCACACACACCTGTCCAGGAGGGGAGGGGCTGAAAGGGGCCTCTGAGGCTGCAGGCCCAGCAGGTCCAAACCTGTCCTGAGACAGACCTTCCTGGACATCTGCCCGAGGGGGAGCGGAAGCCAGGTCTTGGGCCAGCACAGGGGCAGGCGTGAGTCAGAGGCACAGCCGAAACCAGATTTGGGGGGCTTTGCCCCAAGCTCGCAAAGGGGCCCAGGAGGGCATGGGGCCCGGGGCCAGCTGGGTGGCATCAGCGCAGGAGGGATGAGAGGGTCATTTTCTGCACCCGTGCCGGGCACCTGCCCACCGATCTGCTCACCTGTGCTCCACCTTGGAGGCTGCCTTTGTCACCCTCTGTTGGCAGATCTGTGTGCTGCGGGGGCTGGCCGCCAGAGGGGGCCCTAGCACCTCGCAGGGTCGGGGGAGACTCGACCTGTGTGTGCCTGGAGTGGTCGGCGGACCCAACCCTGGGGCGGAGTGCTGGAGGGGCGGCCAGTCCCGGGGGTCTCCAGGGTCAGCAGAGGTGGGCACAGGGAGCCCAGGCCTGGAGGGAGTCACAGGGCCCATGTCACAAGGCTGGTCAGCCCCCCAGCCAGGCCTGCCTGGACGCCCTGACTCAGGCTCGGACAGGCTGCCCTAGGGCCTTGCTGCCCAGTCAAGGGGAGCTGGGTATCTGGGACCTGGTGCCCTCTGCCCCACAGCCAGGGTTTGGCCACCAACCCCTATCCCAGGCCAGAAGAGAAAGGTTCACACTCCCAAGCCCTGGGTGGCCACGTAGCCCCCAGCTGCCCCTCCAGATGGGGAGACCAGCCCAAGAGGAAAAGAGAGGAACGGGGGAGCCGGCCCGGCCCTCCCTCCCCTCAGCCTACGGATCCCGCTAGTCCAGAACCTCCAGTGGGACAGATGTCTCAGCCGAGCTTCCACCCTGAAGCCCTACCAGGCCAAGTCCTTCCTGGCCTCCACCTGCTATGAAAGAGCTGCCTGGGACCTGGAGGTCAGGCGAGGCCCATCCCTAGCCGCAGCTGGCACCTGCCCCCAGCAATGTTCTGGCTTCACCCAGAGCAGGTGGCTCAGCCCACCCTCTCTGCCCCATCCTGCTCTGGTCCTCTCTCCATCTGCACTCTCTCCTGGACAGCCTGAGCTGGCCCAGGGCTGGCTTCCACCCCCAGGGCCTGCTGGCTGGCCCCCTGTCTGCTTGGGCCTCTGGTCCCTGGAAGCTGTCCCCGTTTCCTCCAAGGGGCTTCCCGACCACCTCCTGGCACACTCCCAAGAGCAAGACCACTATTCCTATCTGCCTGTGGGTGGGTGGGGATGGGTCCAAGGTCACGAGGCTGCCGGGGTCAGAGCAGGCAGAGCTGCCTACTCGCCTGCCCAGCAGCCCAGGTGTGAGGAGGCAGAACCCCCAGGCCAGGTGCTGACAATTACAACTCCTCGGCCCTCAGCAGCTGCCTGCAGGCACCGCTACTGAAAGAAGGGGCACATGGTCACCCGGCTGAGGTCCAGGGCTGGGCAGGGTGGCTGAGCTTTGAATGCAGTTTCACCTGATTCCGCCGTGTGCGCCCTTAACCTCTCACCCCCTGACCTCCCCTGCCACACAGGTCAGTGGGGGAGAGGCAGGGTGCTGTGGTGTCCCACTCAGGGGGGGGTCCAGGCTGCAGGGGGTCTGACTGGGCGAGGGGGAGGCAGGGGCTCGGAGCTTCCTGAACGGCCCGAGCTTCAAACCCCAGACCTCCGGAGGATGGCCCGGGCTGTGACCGATGGGAGGGTCAGCGGCCACCTCTTTGTACCCCAGCTGTGTGTCCAGCAAAGATTCCACAAACAAGGCCCGTCTCTGTCCTCAGGACAAGTGTGTCTTTCAGGCTGTCTCTCGCCCAGTGCGGGCTGCAGAGCCCCTCCCCTGCTCCCCCTGCTGGCCTTGACCGCCACACCCACTCAGGCCTGGCCAGAGGCAAGAGGAACGCCCATGCCCTTTAGGAAGAGGTTTTTCTTCTTTTCGAAGCAAAGTATTACAAAAGATTTGATCTTCCGGAGGTTCTGCCATGAGGTGTCCTCCTCAGCCTCGGAGGTCTGCACAGCTCTGCTTCCAAAGGACCCACGCGGATGCCACAGAACCTCGTGTGGGCCAAAGACCCCTCACAGAGCACAAGAGAGTGACGGTTCCACGCAGTCGAGCGTGAGACGTGCACGGAGATGCTTGAGTCCAACCACAGCCGACTTTGACGGAGCCACCGCTTGTGGGGTTTAAGGTCACGCCCGAAAAGTTGGGCCGTGGTGATCTGAAAGCCCACTATGGTGTCCTTCCTTTCCTGTCACAGGCCTGTGTGAGGCCAGACTTTCTTCAACCAAACAACCCATCAGCAGACAGAACACAACGCAGCTGCGGGAACCCAGCCGTCTCCTGCGAAGCCTGACATCGGAGAAGTCTGCAACCCAGGAAAACAACGCAACTCTTCACACTAATTTTTTTCCAGCTATTTTTCATGGAAATATGCTCTTCATGTGCTGAATGCTAGCTCTTCAGATGCTTCTGAGCAGCAAGCTGTTGAGAAAGCATGGTGCGGTGAGCTGCTTTCTGCAGAGAGAGGCCCACCTAGCTCCAGTCTTGGCAGGGGCTGGGGGAGCGCTGGCAAATGCCGGCTGCTGGATTCATTTTCTGGGGCTGCCATGCCAAGTTACCACAAACCGAGTGGCTGGAAACAACAGAAACCTATTCTCTCACAGTCCTGGAGGCCAGATGCCCAAAATCCCGGTTTTGGCAGGGCTGTGCTCCGCTGAAGCCTCTGGGGAAAGGTCGTTCCCTGTCCCTTCTGGCGTCCGGTGGTTGCCGGCAATCCTTGGCTTGTAGCTGCATCACTCCAGTTTCTGCCTCACTCATCACATGGCCTTCTTCCCGTGTGTGTCTCTTCTCTTCTTCTAAACCAACAAAAAAAAAACCACACCAGTTGCCACCAAGTTGATTCCCGACTCATGGAGACCCCATGTGTGTCAGGGTAGAACTACGCTCCATAGGGTTTTCAATGGCTGATTTTTCAGAAGTAGATCACCAGGCCGTTCTTCCGAGGAGCTTGTGAGCGGACTCGAACCGCCACCCTTTTGGTTAGCAGCCGAGCGTGTTAACCATTTGCATCACCAGGGAATAATTACATCTGCAA